TGTGAGATTATAACGGAACGGATATCATATGAGTTGGAACTGGTTTTGCAAATCATTATTAAAGATAATTTTCCTGTATGATTACTGAGTAACTAGATTATTATGTCCCGAAACTAGTGTCATACGATTTACAATCCCTATTTCGTCGCCCATTTATTATTTACAGTCTCTCCTGTTCACACCCGATTACAGTTTGTTTATGTTTAATTGTTATTCTCCTCTAAATGATGTGGTACTGTCTGCTATGTCTATGTATAAACTACGTCTGTTTGAAATGGGATATGGTAGGGGTTGGTTGCTACTTTTAGACTGAAAGCAGAGCTTAGAGAGGAACTAGCGATTAGTGATTCAATAAAAGCTTGGCTGCCTGTTCAAGGTCAGTAGAGCGGGTCGGACTCGTAATTGGTCAAGTCAGATAGATTAAGCTATAGACCAAATAAGAATTAGGATTGTGACTGGTGACTAGATACACGACACTGGTCAGAAGGTATCAAGAAAAATACGTTGCATATAAGAAAGCAGCTTCCACTTAGGGTTTCATTTTAGTCATCTGAAGCTATCCATTTATGTCTTCTGTGAACACGCCACCGAAGGAGATCCCAATATGCCAGATGATAAAATGAATTTAGAGCTTCATATAAAATTCTCAGTGAATGTTATGCTCTTAAAGATAACACTTATTCGCTGAATGAACCGATGACCTACAAATCCAAGGGCTTATATCCCATCATTTTGATATGTCGAATATTTAAAAAAATAATGATAATAATAGCATTAATAATAATGAGTGTCACAATTTTAGATTTTCTTAACTCGGTAAAGCTTTCTTAAGAACAGAATGTTGGTACTGAAATCAACATAACTTGACTTCGAAATGCGGTAAGAATGACAGTGATAACAGAAAGAACTGATTCAAACAAATTTTAACAGATAAATCACTAAAAAAGGATGATGCAAATTTTTGATTTAGTGATTAATCTTCATTCGGAAAAATGATAATCGAATATTAAAATTTAAAAAAGTATAAAGCTACTACCTTAGCTAGTAGTAGTATCATTTCCATTCTAGAAAAAAGTACGAAGGTATCGAATACTGAAAAGTTACACGAATAAACATTAAAAAATTCAACGGTACTCGTTTTTGGCAAGTTTCAGGATAAAGAGGCTGTTACTCAGAAAAAAGATCAATTCAGATTGGTTTAAATGGACAGTGATTTTTTTAAATGGATTTCACCACTCTTCATCAACTTCATTGACTACGAGAAAGCATTTGATAGTATGAATAGGGCAACACTATGGAGTCTTCTTCTACACTACGGCATGACTGAGAAGAAACTCAACATCATACAAAATTCTTATGGAGAATAAAACTGCGAATTCGTGCACGGAGTACAGCTGACAGGTTCGTTCGAGGTGAAAACTGGAGCGCGGGATACAGTAGACATCCAAGATACAGCTGAACGATCTGGACTTTTCAAGTCGCCTAGCCCTTCTATCCCACACACAACAATTAACCCAGAAGACGACCAGTGTAACAACAACCTCCGCAGCAGTAGGCCTCAATCAACATCCATGTGGGGAAAATCAGGATCCTCAGATACAACACTCCATGCGCCAACCAACTCACTTAATGCAGAAGAAGCTTTGGAAGATGCGAAAACCTTTACATATCTGACAAGTATCATCGATAAACAAGATGGAACTGATGCCGATGTAAAGACAAGGATTGACAAAGCTCTACAATTGAAGAACATCTCCAACTCCAAACAACTATCAAGCAACACCAAAATCAGAATTTTCAAGACAAATGTAAAGACAGTTCTACTGTATGAGGCGGAAACTTGGAAAACTACCAAAGTCATCATCCAGAAGATACAAGTATTTATTAACAGTTGTCTATGCAAAATACTTCAGATCCGTTGGCCATACACCGTCAGCAACAACCTACTGTAGGAAAGAACAGACCAGATTCCAGTGGAGGAAAAAATCAGAAAGAAGCGTTGGAAGTGGATAGGACACACACTGAGGAAAGCAACCAACTGCGTCACAAGACAAGCCCTCACTTGGAACCCTCAAGGTTTCAAGAAAAGAGGAAGGCCAAGGAACACATTACACCGAGAAATGTTGACAGACATGAAAAGAATGAACGAAAATTGGGCAGAACTGGACAGAGTAGGTTGGAGAATGCTGGTTGGCGGCTTATCATCAATTAAGGGTAACAGTAGTAAGTAGGTAAGTACCATGCAGTTTTTTTATTTTGTCTCATGGTGCCAATTTGGTGAGGGAATTTCGAACAACTTCTACATAAAGGCTCGATGACTGACTGATTGACTGACAATGCATATTTATCTCACTAAATAATATTCTTGTTCATTTGTTGATGGATTATACCAACTATTTTTTTGTCTAATGTATTTTCAGTAAGGTTTCGGACAGTGATCTGGCCTCTTCGAATATTTTCAGCAATTTTATCAGTCGATCATTTTCTCTTGATATGTTAAAGTACTAGATATATCTGAGAATAGTTATCCGTTTTCTGAATGTGTTAGCCTCATAGACAGATTCAACCTACTGAAATATATTACATAAGTCAAGCAGATCAAACTAAGCTTCAATCGATAAGTTCGGGCATGACCTTTCCAGTTTACTGTTGTCGAATGTCTATGTTGATTAATGAATGTTGTTATAACTGTTGTGATATTTCATTACTGACTAGAATAATCTAGTTGTTTGACATGTAGTCAAATATTATTTACGTGTTTTAGAAAAGTGTTATTGATTTCTGGTTTAACATCACCTTCAGAGAGAAACATAAGTTGTTTTACAAGGGTTATATATATATATATATATATATATATATATATATATTTGTATGAACTATAAACCATAAATCACGTATGAGCATTCATAAATACAAACAATACGACTCATCCCTCTCGTTATTTGGCGTCGATAACTTCTTGATTCATTCACGTAGTAGATAGATAACTTGAACGATTCGAATGAATGTTGACAACAAACTTGATTGAAGCTGACTTCAAAACTAACTATCAACTTCAATATGTAAACAAGAGGTGAACTTACGAGACTCAGTCAAAATGAGGAATAAATCCAATTATCACTTTATAGATCCGTGATCAAAGCATGATTGATCACTTGTAATCATTTGTAACATGATCTTAAACTTGTAACTATTCTACAGCTCTATCACTTGTAATCGGAAATATCGTACCAACCAGATTATACAAAATGCGTACAAGGTTGGTTGACAAAGCATTGTTATATCTTTGATACATTTTATTCGTCTTTAAACCGCTTAAGATAACTCGACACCATTCATACTACAGACTAACAGTCATTTACTCCTCACTTATTGAACTCCACTGTCATGAAACTTTTTATTAAACATGATAAACCTGAATAGTTGATCAGCCATCTTAGATGCAGTTGGTGTGAAGGACCCACTTCTCTCTATAGTTATGCTCTATAACTTAGTCAGTTAACGAACAGAGTCTTTTATCATTAAATACTTTACACCACTTAAGTTTAAAATATTTCTATTTGTAGGATTTTAAATATATTCGCATTAGTTGTAATCGTTAAAGGACCTAAAGTTATGCAGTTGTGTATAAAACTGAATCAATTTTTGTGTAATGGAAGTCAGAGCAGCCTACACCAGCTTAGACCGAATTTTATACCGCCACGAATTTAATGATGCTTGATGCAAGCAGTAATTTTCCTCATTTGTGAAACCAGTTTTTAGTGATGAAAACGTCAGATAACCACTGGCATTTCCGATGGTTTGCTCATATTTAGAGGCAGCACTGAAATTAGGTTTAAAGTCTGACAAATACTGTTCAGGCTTGGTGAAGATCAGAAATTAACGAATATTGGTTATCGGATATCGGTTTTAGTGTATTTGATACGTTTTATGCGTGATTATTAGCTGTTTACACTACTCTGTGAGACGAAGCATGATTACGTTGCTTTACCCTCCTGTCATACATCACGACTAGGTTGATGTGATGTTGCACCTCACTGGGTCATAGGAGATCATCAGATGTGACCTAACTGTTCCAGGTTATGATGAATTGGTCTTCTAAAAAGCTTGATAGGGATTTATAGATAAAATGCGATCATCACCGTTTAATTAATTAGCCTTGCAACCTATGCCGATTCATTCAGTTCATATATTGCTTTTCTCGGATTATATTCACCCAGAAATGTGATACTGTTTATTGCTCTATGCAATAGGTCAATAACTAGTTCTAAACAAAGTACCAAATAGTAGGTTTCCATCATGGGTCTAACGGGAACTCCATGGTCTGGTCACTAATCGCCATCATACGACATGTTTCAGTTTCTAAAAGCTTAAAAGTAAATTCGAGTGATTTATCATTCGATGGGGTTTAGTGAGTGCAAGCGACTAAGCACCATTACGATTGAATGACACATTTCGTATGCCCCTTGAAAAGTGGGTTAGCTATCGTCAAGTTTTGTTAGCCTGCCACAAGCTGAATCACACTCAACGGAAGGGCCGAGAGAAAATATGGATAAGCTGTAGGTTGTGGATCAATAGCAGACATTTCTTACCCTTGGACGTTCGGGTTGCAAAATATTAGTTAATTTTATATTTAATTGACCATAAAAATAAAATATTTTTTAATTTTCATGTATAGTTTGTTAAACTAAACACATTTTTAAAATTAATTTTCAAAAAGTCAAATAAATAAAGCTATAATAACTTAAAATATGTGAAATCATGATAACGACATTCAAAATGGAACGACATAATCGCTTAAACGAATGTAACGCAAACAGCCTTGAAATAATTTTGTTGATGCAGTCATCTTGACAAACATAGATCTAGAGATTCTCTCTAGAAAGAGCTTTATATTACCAGATCAAGATTTTATATACGTATTTTGAGCTACTCAATATTTAAACACTCAAATATTTTAAGAAAAATTTGAAAAAAGCAAACATTTGTAATGAGAACTACTTCACACGATATTAATCCGTATAATGGAGCATGCAATCCAATTTGACTGTAAAAACGCTTTGTGAAGTGCCTGCAGCTCTGAGTTGTTGTATTGGGTTGTTCAATCTGATTAGTTGTGGAGAAAGCCTTTTGGCGGCTTACAAAGATATTTGCGCGCACTAAAACCGGGTGATTTAATAATTTTCAGCGCGCGCTTTAACATTTTTCTCAACGTTGCTTCGGAGTTATGTTTCATTTACCTGCTTTGTAGTTCTCTTTAAATGTCTCATGGTAACGCATACAATACTGGGATCCACATTAACAAAATATTATGGAATATGGTAATACAAACATGAGCGGTGGACAACAGATATATGTTTCACAATCCCAAGAGCCACCTAGGGTGTCAGGGTGTAATCCTCAACACCTTGCAAATACTTTCCAAGGAGTTGATTGCAATTCACCTAACAGGAATTATGGACCTTATTCACAGGCTTATCAGTCTCATGAGTATAGTGAACCACACGCTTCCCATACTGCTGTACCACAGGCGGTTTATCAACAGTCTTACTCTAATGAAGTTCATGGACAAAGCTTGACACTCAACCAATTATTACAACAAAATAGTTCTTCAGGTACATATCAAGTCCGCGCCATGAATACCACACATCCAGTTTATCGGAGTTATGATCCCTATTACACTTATAAACCCGGTGCACCTTCATGCGTGTCACAAGATCGATCTCAGGTAGGTTGTTTATCCACGTAATTGAGTCTACATTCACACAATATGTTCACTACAGTGCATACTATGTAAGATCCTGAGTGGTTTATATGTTCTTTTTTTCATTAATTCTCTTGCTTGGGTATTTACAAAGCGTGTCTAAAAGATTCTGGTTGGTTTCCATATTCTACAGCTTTAGCACTTACAGTTCATCTTAAAGTATAAAAATACTTGTTAAACAGAGGATAATAAGTTTTTTGACGAGATAGACTTCACAGGTAAGTGGTTAATGTATGGAGTCCTAGAGTTCTCAATAACAACCTATAATTTAAATGTTACCACGTCATATATTGCCGTTGTTGAGTAACCAATTATTTAAACGTGTTATATTAACCGAATTAGTTTCTGGATGATTATTAAAATACACTTGTTAGTTATAGGTGCAATCTAAAAAGATCCATTAGGGTTAGAAATCACTCGTTGGTTATTGAAGTTAATTCGATTTTGAAGAACTCCATTATTAACACTGTATTGACAAGTACAGTCGATAGGAAGTCTGGGATGCAGCACTTTTTAACGCAGCAACTTATAAAACTAACCCTTCATGTTTAAAGCAGTTCATTTTCCATGAATAGGGCAAATCAACACATCTTGTACCAAGTATCTTATTTCATCAATGCTAATTTTCCTTCATTATCATTGCTGTCATGATATGACTCCTTTGTCATTCATCTAGTTAATTTCATCTGGTGATGTTTGATAATTTGGGTTAAAACATATTTGAGTTATGCTCTGTTTATTATCGTTAACTGGTTAACTCCAATTGGTCACTTTCTAGCTTGCCAATGTTACGATTTAGCACCTCTAGTTATTTAGGAAATGAGAACAGCGACTGATACACTGTCAGTCAGTTAGATAAACGATCGATTGATGTTAACAGAAAGCTTTAGTAAATTCGAGGCAATTTGGTTGTACTTTTGGCTATTTAGGAAGTGAGAACAACCAGCAACTGCGGGACCAGTGTCATACTTCCTTATCGTTATTGCACTAGTGTCTATGCCTTTTTCTGAATTACTTGTTTAAAGCCCTTGCATGAGTTATATGTTAGTTCTCATATGTATTCAATTTGAGTGTAAACACAAAAACTATCTTTTTATTTGCGACTTTTCCCCGTATTTAAGTTTTGCTTTCAGTTTCTGTCGTACTCAAATAGCCAACTGAATTTATCGTCTTCATACAATTGGTGTTAGCCTAAAAGTTCTACTTAGTTTTTTAAAATAGTACGGAATTTAACATTTAGGTTACTTTAAATCTAATCATTAGTCAAATATATTGGTTCATTTACTCGGCTTTTGTGCACAGAATAAGTGCATTAACCTTTTACACGCTCTCTACTCGAACACTAATGGTCGAGTTAGAGCTTATGGCGAACTTTCATCGGAGTTGATTATTTTAAGAAGTGTTCTTCAGGATTGTCGACTTTCTCTATTCTTACTAAGTTTTGTCATCAACATGCTTTTAGAGACGACACTTTCGTCGTTTGGATTCTCAGGAATTGAACTACCAGGAGATTCAATAGTTAACTTAGAATATGCCAATGACATGGTTCTTTATGGTGAAGATACTGACAGAATGCAGTCTTCTGAATGCACGTTCGGGATGCGATTCTCCCCTTCTAAGTGCTAAGTGTTGCTTCAGGATTGGCTTGCATCGGCACCTGAACTAGTGATGGGGAATGAAGCAGTTGGGCGTGTAGACCGCCTCAGTTATCTCGGGAGTCTCATCAGTGCTGATGGCCTTGTGTTTGAAAACATTTCAGCGCGGATTAAAAAGGCTCGGTTGACTTTCGCCAACTTGCTTCACCCATGGCGTATGTGAGATATCCATCTCTTAACAATAGGACGTGTGCTGTTACGACCGTAGCTGCTACCTTGACATGGTGGTCGGGCTTGCCTATCGTGATGACCCAACCGAGCTATACTGGCTGGAACATATGTTCCTGAGGGTTCTACCATGCCAGGCAGGTCGATTGGGGAACGATGAGACTAAAGGCAGCTACTCAAGGTCTGAGGGCGAAGTCGTACTGCTGACTGACTGTAGACGGGTGTGACAACAGTAAGGTGTTTCCCTCGCACAACTAGCATCTGCTGCGATGCTGCCTTCTCACAAGGAAGGAAGGGCTAGAAAAGGTCGACCCTAAAAATGTCACACATCACCCTATCTCACGGATTCCCGTCCCCGACGGTAAGGCCTTTTAATTAAGAGCGGAGCTGATGCTCGAAAAACCTTTCATAAAATGGTCGTGCATGACCGGCCTCAAGCAGTTTTCCCTTGGGCTCTTCGGTTACGCTCCCAGGTCATTAAGTCAAACGCTAATCTACCTTCATTTTCAGGTACCTCAAGAAACACCGGCGGTGTGGGCAGCCGGGAAGTAACATCCACCCTCATACCCATTAAAGAACACAATGATCCGTAGTGTCACGATTCGCTCGGTGTTCGATCGATCCTTGCGGAATCCAGACTGTTGATTTCTAGGTTGTACATCTACAAAGTCCTTCACCCTTAACAGCACATGAGACCAAATTGATCACAAACAAATCCTCTTTACACTTCCTAACATCCCCCTTATCTCCACGACTGATTTTTCTCGTATATCCTGTATCACCCTGCATTCTTAAAACAAACGATTCGAGTTCACAAAACGTTATTCCTGGTCTCCTGAAACCCCTTTCTAGACTACATGTTAGAGCATTTAATGTACAGACATTGTGTCAAATAGGACAACAGGCTTCCCTAGCTAGGACTTTAGAATCTCGCGCTATCAATGTGTGCTGCGTCTCGGAAACGCGCACACAGGATCCGAGTAAAATCATTAATTTGATTTCACCATGACAAAATAATGGTCCACATCGACTTACTCTTCGTGTATCTGGAGGCCCTGATGCTATTTCCTGTGGTCCCGCTGCCGTAGGTATAGCATTGAGTCATAGGGCAGAACTATCTCTCCTGGATTGGATCCCTGTAGATAGTCGCTTGTGCTCTGTCCGACTGAACGGGACAGTAAGTATTCGGAAAGATAGGGACACCCGTCGTTGCCTCTTCATCGTATCTGCCTATGCCCCCACTGACTGCAGTTCAGACGAGGTAAACAATGAGTTTTATTGAAAGCTTTTAGAACTCCTCCAAAAATTTAAGCGCTCTGATTTAGTAATAATGGCTGGTGACTAATGCTCAAGTAGGTAGACTAGGTGAAAAGGAAAGACACCTAGGTGGATGTTATGGTGTCGCGGCTCAGAGAACTGACAATGGCGACCGTCTGTTGCAACTATGCTCAGATATTTCTAGCAAACACTAACTTCAGGCATAAGGAAAAACATCTTTTGACGTGGCGACCCCCAAATTCGTCTCAACATTGGACCCAACTAGATCACATCGCCATCAGCCACCGATGGAGGGGTTCGATAGAGGACTGTCGCTCGTTCTGGGGCACATGTTTAGATTCAGATCATGCTCTAGTGCGAGCGCGTATTTGTTTGAGGCTTACTGGACGTAGGAAAGATATCGCAAAATAACATCTCAGGGTTCCACTTAGTGATAACAAAGCTAGGAATATATTTCAGGAACAACTAGAAAAACAGTTAGACGACCATGTAAGTGATCCCCATCCAGAGGCAGGTTGGAATAATATCAAAAAAGCTGTGGATCTCAGTAGCAGCTACAGAACTGATGGATACTCGAAAACTCATCCCACCTGGCTCTGAACACGATGAAGAGAGGAGTCAGCTTAGGCGCAAGCTGATAAAAAGCCTACGCAATGATCACGAACACTGGTGGGTAGAGAAAGCGAGAACAATGAAAAAGGCAGCGGCAATAGGCAACAGAAGACAGTTGTTCCGCCTTATCATGGGAACCGGTATTAGGAATTCGAATATGAGTGAGGCAATCTCAGAAAAGGATGGTCTTGTCATTCATTCTCAATCCAGGGGGTTGGATCGATGGACAGAACATTTCAGGGATCAGTTCAACTGGCCTTCAGCCACAGTTCGGTTGCCTACGATCTCCAGTCATCCTAAATGGCAAGTCGACGTAAGCCCCCCGAATCTTTATGAAGTTGAAAAGGCTATAGGAAATCTGAAGGGAGGTAGAGTAGCAGGTCCTGATGGGCTAACTCCTGAGATTTTTATGGTGGTGGTGTTTGGTTCTCTGAGCTGGGTGTTTTGGTTGTGAAGCTTTCATTGTTCTTCTGAACAACATCATCAGTACAAACTTCTTCAGATAGAAGTGAAGCATTCGAATTTCTCCATGTTTGACCTGAGATTTTTAAGGATGGTGGTCCAGTTTTAACAATTAGACTGACTGAAATCTTAGGTAGAATCTGGGAACTGGACACAATCCCATCTGACTAGTCTCAATCACTGATTGTCCCAATTTACAAGAAAGGACAAAAGTCCTCTTGTGACAATCACAGAGGAATAAGTCTAACTAATATACTATCTAAAATATTGGCCTCAATAATACTTCGACGCTTAACGAAAGCTGATGAAGTGCAGACTAGAGAAAACCAGGCTGACTTTCGACCTGGACGTGGCTGTATAGACCACATTTTCACATAACGACATGTCCTGGAACACAGACGCACATTTAGGCGTTCGACAATCGCTGTCTTCCTGGACCTTAAGGCGTCATTGGACTCGGTTGATTGTGAGGTTCTGTGGCAGTCTGTCATTGAAAGGTGTACCAAAGAAGTACATTAACCTTATACGGGCTCTCTACTCGAACACCAGTGGTGGAGTAAGAGCATATGGCGAACGGTCATCGGAATTAGTTACCTCAAGTGGTGTCCGTCAGGGCTGTCCACTCTCTCCATTCTTGTTTAACTTTGTCGTGGATATCGTTTTAGAGTTAACATTATCATCGTCTGACCCTTCAGTAGTGGACCTTTTATTAGGAGCCACGCTTGCCGACTTAGAATATGCTGATGATATAGTTCTATTCGGTGAAGATGCTGACAAAATGCAAAGTCT